AGATGGATTCCGTTTCATTTAACTGAACAGCTACTATGAGCCAGGTATTCCTCTACATATTGAGACTACAGCAATGAACAAAACTCACAGAGCTTATGATTTAGAAGCATTAGAGATGCAAAATGATTTAGAAACAACACATATGCACACCTAAATGTATAGTTACAGCCGTGAGAAAAGGAGAAAGTTTTGGGGTGCTGTGGGTCATCTAGTGAGCAAGGGTGGAGAGGAACCTCATCTTGATGGAGGCTCGTGGAAAGTGAACACGAAGGATAAAAGGGAGTGTGCCAGCAACAGTCAAGGGACAGTGTGCCAGCAACAGTCAAGGGACAGAAAGTTCCAGACAGAAGAAACATGTGCAAGCAGAAAGCAGAAGACCAGACTGAAAGGCCTCAAATTGTTCATTGTGTTACTTACCTGTGATTTATGTAAAATGTCCATTATAGCTCAAGAGCTCTGTAAATATTCCCTGAGGGTGTGTAAGTTACATGAAGAATCAGGACAGAGTCTACCACAGATAGAAGAAATAACACAATGAAGGCCAAACAGGGAAGGGGAAGGAAAACCCGTTGGCTAAGCCTGGAGATAAAGCATGAGGTCTTGCGGTTCAATTGGAAAGTCTGGAAAATAGTTAGGCATTTATGCTTTGGACGCACCATTTTGGATCATTATCATGTATTCAAGGTATGTGGTAGGGATTTTCTGATAGTCCTGGTCTCCACTCTTGAACTGGAGACCCAGGTTTTAGACTCACAGTCATGGGAGAAAATGACCTTGCTGGTCAGTGTGTGTGGGTAGAAAGGTTTTGAGGCACAGAACAGTGGGTTAGCAGGGAGACTGTAGCAAGCTCAGAGGAAGAGACAAGTTCAGAGGAGGTCAGAGAAGGTATATTAGTTATTTTTGTCATTGGGATGATAGAATAGCACACAGAAACAACTCAAGGGAGCAAGGATTTACTTGGCTCATTGTTCAGGGGATAAGATCCACTATGGCTTGAAATGTGTGGCAGTGGGATAGTTCCTATATGTGGTGGTAGAAATGTGAGGGGGCTGGTAACCATGCATCTGGAGCCAGGAAGCCAAGAGCTAGACAGGATCAGGGTGGCCTATAATATAGTCCGTCTCTATGACACTAGGCTATCTGAAGGTTCCATTACCTCCCATGGTTAAAAGCACCACCAATGGAGGACAAGAGTCCAAGCACATGAGACTAGGAACATATTTCACATCCAAAGAACAACCAAAAACAATGATCAAAAGAGTCAAGTAACTACAGACAACCTTGTCACTTGCCAGTGGAAGGTTTCCTGATAGCAGGTTCAGCAGCTTGACTCAACAGACCGTGGAATGCAGTGGATTTGTGATCAAGCTCAGGGTGAAGAAGCAGAGTGGAAAAAATGTGCTAGGGGGCATCTGGATTTACCCTCCCATCCGAAACAATGGCGACCTTAGACAAAAATAGATAAAACAACTCTCAGAACATGGGCCTCAGCCACCAAATGACTGTGATCTCCTAGAAATGGAAAACAGATGAGGGGAATACTGCAGTGGCACCAGTGTACTGTGAAGAACCAGCCAGGCTGCAGGGCAGAGGGGAGACACTCAGTCAGCCACAGGAAGGAGTCAGAGCTAGTGCTGGACATGAGAGCCAGGGCAGTAAGAGTCAGGAAAGGGAAGAATGCCTGAGGATCTGCACCGCGTCTCTCTGGAGAACTTAGTTCAGTGCTGATTAGATCATGCACACAAAGAAACCACTCAAGATCAGAAAAAGGACTGGGCAAGAGGATGAGAGTAAAGAAGGTCCAGTGGTCACAAAGGGCCAGAGTAAATAGTTCAACAGCCAGTGGGGAGAACTTGTCACTCTCCTGGCCATCAGTTCTCAGTTAAAGCAAGAAGGGTCTAAACTAAAGCCAGTTCTGAAACCACCCAACAAAATTGAAGTACAAAACCCAAACAGGCAAAACAGTGCCCATATTTTTCAGTGAGTCCCAGAAAAGCTCAAGAATAATTATAGAACTTCAAAAATGTCCAATAGACAAGGTAAAATTCTCAATGTCTGACTTCCTCTAAAAAATTATGAGGCATACAGAGAATCAAGAAAATTCATGTCATCATGTGGAGGGAAATCAATCAGCTCAAATAACAGCAATTACATGGATGATAGAAGGTATTAATTATACATATTCGGCTGGGCTCGGTAGTACATGGCTGTAATCCCAGGATTTAAGAGACTGAGGAAGAATTACGGGAGCTCAAGGCCAGCCTGGGCTGCTTAGTGAGACCCTGTCTCAAAATGCCAAAATAATAGTACTACTAATAAAACTGTACTCAAAACTTGAATGAAGATGGATATTAAAGAGAGCCACTGAAATTCTAAAGATGAAATACATAGTCTAAGGTGAAAAATCCCTGGACAGGGATCTTATATTGGAACAGAAAAGATTATTGAACTCAAAGAGATGGAAATAGAAGCTACCCAAAATGGAAAACAGGGGGAGGGGGAGGGGGAGGG